AATTCATGATTGTATCATTAGGTGCAGAAAAAGCATTTGTCAAAGTCTAATACCTAGTCATGATTTTTAAAAATTAGAAAATTTAAAACACAATAGCTATTCATAGCAGAATTTATTCACAAAACTAAAAAATGAAAATGAGGCTGCAGCCAAACTAAGTTTTTGAGTGGCGCATTTGTTAGCTAAGCAAGAGAAGCCACTTAGGTAAGTTAATTAAAACATGTTTGATTGCAGGAGCCAAAAACTGTGTCCAGAGAATATAAACTTGCTTAGGACTATAGGTTTTCTGTGTCTGTGGAACATAGTTTAGGCAACAGCACTATGTTCAGGGAAGGTAAACTCATATCTGGAGTAGGCATCTATTCTAGTAGGAATGAAATGCTGTTCCTTACATGATGGAAGTTGTCTAATGTAATCAACCTGTGACCAGGTAGCTCCTTGTCACCCAGGGGAATGGTGCCATATTAGAGAACCAGTGTAGGTCTCTGCATTTAACAGCTTGGGCACTCAGCTGTGGCTATAGCCAGATAAGCTGTAGGGAATGAAAGACCATGTTACTGAGGCTATGTATAAGCTCCATCTTTGCCACTATGATCACTTTGTTCATGAGCTCATTGGGCAATTATTGGGCATTTTACTGCCATTCTTATTACCATTATATAACCAAGTCATGGTATACACAAAGATAACACCATGTATTTTTAAAGGGTGTGTAACTCACACATACATCATTGTCCAAGGTGAACCAAAGGGGCTGTATCTTATTTTTATTTTGGAAACTTCCATAGTCTACTCTTTTGCTGCCATTTGATCTTATTCCCCACAGCTCATCAGCATGAAGCCTCTGACTAGACGGTTATGTTTTAAAAATCACCATTTCTTCCTCCAACTCAAGAGGGTAACCCTGGAATTAGAGTCTGGGTTAGGATAAACCTGAAACTGTGGATCAGGTGAGGCCCCTGAGGATCAATTTTCTCTAAGTCAGGATGAAGACTAAGAATATCCCAAGGATAGTCCCAGGATATCACCTGGAGAATTACTGTGATTTGCAGAGGGCATAGGGAAGAAGGGGAATTGGGAATAGAGTCAAAGCCAGCTGTGCTATCAATGTAGCAAGGCCAGGGAACCCCCAAGCCCTCAAGTGGAGGCTGTGAATACAGCAATCTTGTGTCTACTACTCAGAGTCGAAAACCTGTCTATGCACAGTGGTCCTGGTGCTATCTGTGTCAGTGATGGCTCTGGGATCAGCTGTTACATATGTAAGTATTACCTGATGCATTTTAAAATCTTACAAAAGAAAATTCCAAGTGTCAGACTGAGAGAAAGTCTTAATTCAATGTCTCATTTATATCAGTAAGATCTAATTTGCGTCACTAAGATCTAATATGACTCTGACAATCCTTCCTCTGCACTCTACCTTTATACTAGTTGCATATTAAGGAAAACTTTAGTCTGGATGCCCATAGATCCCAGAATTATATGCTTCTTTTTATGTTCTGTGTTTGTTTCTCACATTCTGTCAGGCATCTGAAATTCTTTCCATGTAGTCAAGCTTAGATAATGACCATCCATTGGCAGATCATTGCAGCCAAGGAGAAGGCTTCTCTGAAAGGCTCATCACTGTCCTGCGTTTCTTCCCTGGGTTGAAATCAGCATTTCCAAAACCAAACAATCTACCAAACAGTAATCGAGAGTTTTGAAATAGTAAATAGATGTGTTGGAGGAGAGAACACAAGCATCCACACTTCTACCTGTTGTATAACTCAGAGTTATAGATTACAGAAGAAAAACATAGTAGTGACTTTAATGAGAAGTTATAGCAAACAGGGGGAAGCAATAACGAACAGGGGGGAGCTCCTTTTCTCCTATCTAGTCCAGGAGAAAAAAACAACTAAATTTTTTTAAAAAGGAAGGTTAAAGCAGATAAAAGTGATCTTCACTACAAATAAATATAAAACGTTAAAAAACCCTCTGCTAAAACTGGATCTAGTTCATTTATTTGTAACAAATCAATACTTTTTTATTGATCCATTTACAACTCATCATCCAGAACAAAGAAAAAAATCTGGTATCTGTTAGCAAAGTATATATATATATATATATATATTTTATTGCACTTTAGGTTCTGGGGTACATATGAAGAACATACAGGATTGTTGCATAGGTACATATATGGCAATGTGGTTGGCTGCCTCCATCCCCCCCCGTCACCTATATCTGGCATTTCTCCCCATGTTATCCCTCCCCAACTCCATATTCCCTGCTGTCCCTCCCCTAGTCCCCCCAACAGACCCAGTGTGTGATGCTCTCCTCCCCGTGTCCATGTGTTCTCATTGTTCAACACCCGCCTATGAGTGAGAACATACGGTATTTGGTTTTCTGTTCTTGTGTCCGTTTGCTGAGAATTATGGTTTCCAGATCCATCCACATCCCTACAAAGGACACGAACTCATCCTTTTTTGTGGCTGCATAGTATTGCATGGTGTATATGTGCCACATTTTCCTTATCCAGTCTATCATCGATGGGCATTTGGGTTAGTTCCACGTCTTTGCTATTGTAAACAGTGCCACAATGAACATACCTGTGCATGTGTCTTTATAATAGAATGATTTATAATCCTTTGGATATATACCCAGTAATGGGATTGCTGGGTCAAATGGAATTTCTATTTCTAGGTCCTTGGGGAATCGCCACACTGTCTTCCACAATGGTTGAACTGTCTTCCACAATGGTTGAACTAATTTACACTCCCACCAACAGTGTAAAAGTGTTCCTATTTGTCCACATCCTCTCCAGCATCTGTTGTCTCCAGATTTTTTAATATCTCCATTCTAACTGGTGTAACATGGTATCTCAATGTGGTTTTGATTTGCATTTCTCTAATGACCAGTGATGATGAGCATTTTTTCATGTTTGTTGGCCTCATATATGTCTTCTTTTGAAAAGTGTCTGTTCATGTGCTTTGCCCACTTTTGAATGGGTTTGTTTTTTTCTTGTAAATCTGTTTTAGTTCTTTGTAGATTCTGGATATTAGCCCTTTGGCAGATGGGTAGATTGCAAAAATTTTTTCCCATTCTGTTGGTTGCCAGTTTACTCTAATGATTGTTTCCTTTGCTGTACAGAAGCTCTGGAGTTTAATTAGATCCTATTTGCCCATTTTGGCTTTTGTTGCCATTGCTTTTGGCGTTTTAGCCATGAAGTCCTTGCCTATGACTATGTCCTGAATGGTTTCACCTAGGTTTTCTTCTAGGGCTTTTATGGTGTTAGGCCTCATGTTTAGATCTTTAATCCATCTGGAGTTAATTTTAGTGTAAGGTGTCAGGAAGGGGTCCAGTTTCTGCTTTCTGCACATTGCTAACCAGTTTTCCCAACACCATTTATTAAACAGGGACTCCTCTCTCCATTGCTTGTTTTTGTCTGGTTTGTCAAAGATCAGATGATTGCATATGGGTGGTGTTGCTTCTGAGGCCTCCGTTCTGTTCCATTGGTCTATATCTCTGTTTTGGTACAGTACCATGCTGTTTTGATTACCGTGGCCTTGTAGTATAGTTTGAAGTCAGGTAGCATGACAGTTGCACAGGAGAACTAACAGGCCACATGCACCATCTATCATGTAGAGATAATCAAAACCTATGACTCTATGGCTTACTTGCAAGAAAATAAAATGATGCTAGAATGTGCTGGAAGCTTCTTTAACAATGTTCCTCAAATTGTGTTTTATTATCATATACTCCACATTGTTAAGTAATACAAGGTGAGATTAAACATTATGTTGTATGAAATTTACTCTATTTTTCTGATCCTCATTACAGTAACCCCAAAAGACACTGTGGGAGTGAGGAAGCAGCTGATGCAGTTTGGACTCCAAGGACAGCAGCACAAAGGGTCACAGCCTTTCCTCCAGCACTAAGTGAGGAGGACCAAGGCAAGAAATACTGTGCAGTCTCCTCAGCCTTGGGGCCTCTGTCTTCTGCCAGTTTCATTGAGTCAGAATAAAGTTAGATGGGTACAATCATGATGAGAATCACAGGATCCTAAACTGAGTTCTTCCAGTGCCAGGCTGACTCACTGCTAGGCATAGCTAAGGCTTTGCCAATCCTATGACTGAGCACTTCCATCCCTAGAAGAATCTAAGAGAAGTGCATGCACAAAAGGCATGTATAAAAATGTTCTTAACAGCTTTATTAATGATACATTCAAATTGAAAACAACCAAAAACTGAAGAATGAATCAAAAATTGTGTTGTATTCATACAATAGAAAACTATACATCAGTAGAAAGGAACAAATTACGGCCACACCAGCAACATAGGAAAAGTTCCAAAGACATTATGACCAAAGAAGCAAGACATGAAAAGGTACATACTATAATATTTCAAGAACATAAGAAATAAAGTTCAAGAACAAACTCAATCAATATTGGAGAAAAATAGAAAATGATGGTCTCTGGCAGTGGTGAATGGAGCATGAAACTGACAGAGGAGGAGCATGAGGAAACCATTTGGGATGCTGAAGATGGTGTACAGCTTCATCTGGGTAGTGGTTAAAATGGATATGTATATGTTTATGCTAACTAAGCTGCACACTTTATATCACTTTATACGCAGTAAATACAGTTTACTAAATTTAGCTATATTTAGAATTTTTAAAATGAATTATCAGGTTGATGCAAAAGTAATTACAGTTTTTGCCATTAAAAGTTATGACTGATTAGTAGAAATTATACAGTCAGTATTAGAGTATTAATATCAGAGTACCTGTTTTGTGTTCTCTCACAAACGCTGGTACCTTGAACAATTAAAACTCTGGGAATCTCTAACTTCTGATCTACAGATTATTCTTGTCGAATAATTCCACTAGGTTTATTTACCTTTAGTACTATATTCAACATACAGTAAGTCTTCAAGACTTCAGTAAACGACAGTAGACAATGTAGTTGCCTAAGAGTTGCTGTTATTTCCCTGGATATGGGATTTTTGTTGTTGTTGTTTGTTTCTTTGTTAACCTAGTTGTCTGCCTAAAAAAAAAAAAAAAAACATTTATTCTCAAAGAAGAAATTCAAAAACCATGCTATGAATGGAATCTTTGGCAGACCTATCCAGAGATATCTTTTTTAGAATTAATTGAAAGTTTGGGTGTCTTTTATTGTTGCAAAACAAAGGAAAAGTAAGCCTTTCAGGTACCAAAATTCCTTTCAAGCTTTTTTCCCATGAGCCTGTAAGCCCTACTCAAAAATAGACACTGTGTTTCTGAACACACCACAGGAGAGAGTGCAGCTGTGAAACCACATGCACTTACTGCACAAACAGCCCAGAAGGAAGGTTTCTGTTAAGGGCTGTAACATGGTGCAAGGGACTGCATAGTCCTGCTGGCAGTAATAAGTGGCAGCATCATCAGCCTCTACACTGCTGATTGTGAGAATGAAGTCTGTCTCAGACTGTATCCCAGAGAACCGAGACGAGACACCAGAATACAGGTTATCAGCATCATAGATAAGGATCTTAGGAGCCTGGCCTGGTTTTTGCTGATACCAAGTTAAATAATCACTAATGCTCTGATTGGCTTTACAAGAGATGGAGATGGTATCTTTCAGAGACACAGAGAGGAGGGCTGGAGACTGGGTCAGCACAGTGTTCCCTCTGACACCTGAAAAGGAAGCAAAACACAAATTCACCGCCATTTTCCTCCAGCATGTTCCAGAAGCCCTGGACCCCTAACCTGAGGCACCTGGGTCTCTAAGGGGAGATGATGGGTCAGAAATCCACAGAGACCCTGCAAGTTTCTCACAATTAGAAGAGAAGATCCCCATCATCTCAGGGGTATTCCCTGCATTCCCCTCCTCACCTGGGTGCCAGAGCAGCAGAAGGCAAAAGAGTTGGGTCAGGACACCCATGTTCATTCTAGGCCAACCAGAGGCTGTTTCTTGCCCAGAACCACTGTGAAGGCTATTCATGAGGATTCTAAAGATCAGATATGGACTCCAGGGAAATTATGCAAATCAGGGAGGGGTTGAGTAGTTCTGGCCTTGCAGTTGCAGAGCTGATGCCCATGAAGGGCTCCATTACTTCTTGGCTCTGCATTCAGTGAATGCAGGTGTCAATTCAGTCCCAGAGGAGTTTTTTCCTAGTGTTTGTAAGATCTCTAATTTTTCTGGTCTTTATTTGTCCTCAGGGCATAGATGATTGTGGTTAGAATATGAAGTCCTCCTTCTAAAAATGAGAACATTTAAAAGTTAAATAACCTCCCTCCCTAGACTTAAACTTTAATTTGAACATGTGACTGTCCCCCTGGAATCACACAAAACATTATCTGCTAGAGATAGATGTATTGTTCTTTGTAAATTCTGGATATCAGCCCTTTGTCAGATGGGTAAACTGCAAAAATTTTTTTCCCATTCTTTTGGTTGTCGATTCACTCTAATGACTGTTTCTTTGGCTGTTCAGAAGCTGTGGAGTTTGATTAGGTCCCATTTGTCTATTTTGGCTTTTGTTGTCAATGCTTTTGGCATTTTGGTCGTGAAGTCCTTGCCTACACCTATGTCCTGAATGGTTTTGCCTAGATTTTCTTCTAGGGTTTTTATGGTGTTAGGTCTTATGTTTAAGTCTTTAATCCATCTGGAGTTAATTTTAGTG